CACCCAGTCCCACCCCCTGCCATGGGCAGGGACACCTTCCACTATCCCAGGTTGCTCCAAGCCCTGTCCAACCTGGCCTTGGACACTCCCAGGGATGGGGCAGCCACAGCTTCTCTGGGTAACCTGTGCCAGGGCCTCCCCACCCTCCCAGGGAATCCTTCCCAATATCCCACCTATCCCTGCCCTCCTTCAGCATGAGGCCATTCCCCTCATCCTGTCACTCCATGCCTTGAGCAGTCCAGCCTGTCCTGGGGCTGTGGCTGGGCTGGGGCTCCCCCAGGCTCCAGGCTGGGTCCTGTGTCAGGTGAGCATTGTCTGCGGCCTTTTTACGGAAGACCATCGGATTTTAGGGTTTGTTCTCTTACTGAAATCTGAAAAATTAATTTGGTGTTTCGCTGATGACTGTGAAAGGAGTGTAGTGAGGAGAACGTGATGCATAAAGTTTTCCTTCAGACTTTCCTTTCAGACTGTGGGATACGCTGAAAGGGGAACTTGGCAGAATATTCCAAATCTGTCTCATAAAATAACCCACACACTCTGTTTATCCAGCCACAGCAAACTACACCTGACCTTTTTTCTTATCTTTTAATCTTCTGAACTGAGCTAAATAATGGGATTGTACTTACTAGAGCTTTTAAAAGTTAGATTGAAGCCTGCTTAGTCTGTAAAAGCAGCATTATACACAGGGCATCTGAACTGTGCTGATGGGGAAAAATGTGTTAAACTGAGTGTAGCTTTTAAAATTTATCCTTTTCCTCCAGCTTTGGGGCAGCCTTGAATGTAAGGGCTCCCTGTGGGACTTCTTTCGAGGCTGTTGTTGGAGAACTGATCCTGCTCCCGTGGCCATTGGCCACAGTGTAAATCTGTTATTTGCATTGAAATTAAATCTGTGCTGCCTGTCCCGTACACCTCCACTGTGGGGTAATAATAAGATTTCCATTTCTGAGACTTTTGAATCAGTTTATCAGAGACAAAGCAGTGTCCTTGCTGTTGAAAATCTGGGGGAAGGAGAGGAGGGGCTGCTGCATTGCAGTTGTCTTCAGTGCAGAGTCTAAGTTTCAGCCTGAGGTTGTCAGGATGTGTCTTCAGGCTTAATTGCTTGCCACATTTGTATGAAAGGGGACTTGGAATAATGAAGGCAGTAAAATTTCATCTACAAAAAGCCCTCTGCCAGGAGAGGTCAGAATCAATTTGGGCCCAATTACCGAGGCTTGGAGCAAGGGAGAAAGAAGCCAAATGCTGGTGAGGAGCTGGAGCTCTTGAGCATTGCCATTGCTGGATGATGGACACAGGTCACCAAGCAGGGTCACAAAAGACACCTCTTCCAGGTGACTGCATGGCTGAAGGATGCTTTGACCTCCTGGTGCACAAATAGAAACCCTTGTGTCTCTAATTCAGCATTTTGGCAGCCAGCGTGTAGCTGACTCCGACTGATTGTGTTCTGGTTTTGGGAGGAGGGTGGGTCTGAGGAACATCAAACAGAAAGCTGCTTTGGGCTGAGCCAAGTCTTAATGGCCTTCAGCTCTATTTGAGTCTGACGTGGCGTGTGTTTCTGACAGGGAACAGGGCTGGCACTTGGGATTAGGAAGTTAAACATGGTGCAGGGGATCCCAGAGCTGCTGCTGGTCCTGGCCAGGCAGATCTCCCCCCAGCACTGCACCAGTGGGCAGGTGGAGGCTGGATTTGGGGCTCAGAGGTGCAATTTTGGAGGTGTTTTTGGCTCTGCAGCTAGTGGGTCTGCTCCCAAGGAAGGCTTCTTAAGAGACACCAAAACTATCAAAGCCCTTCCAAATCATGCCAAGGGTGTCGGGGCTTGTGTGGAGGTTGTAGGAGACGATGCTGGCCTCTCAAATTAGCAATCCTCTGTTTTAATCTCTGTCTGGAAAAAGGAAATCATCTTGTTTGTACTTCTGGTCTTTTAAGAGTCTAATTTATAACACACCGAAGTGAATGAACTGTTGAATGCTTTGAATCAGAACATGAAGTCTGATGTTCTCTAAAGCTCTATTTAAAACCCGTCATCTCTAGAGCTAAAGACTTGCAGTTAAAAAAAAATGGAAGGACAAATTGGACATTTTGCAAAATGTCCAAAAAAACCCAGGCAAGCTTGAGAAAACAAATTGGAAGTTTCTGGTTTGTAGGCTAAAAGGGTTCTCCATGGTGAAACTCCACAGGCTGGCTCTTGGGAAGGGTTTGCAAACTCTCTTAGTTTAATAAAGGCCATAAAAAGCAGGAAGAAAAGCCAGCAGAGAAAAGCAAATTAGGTCCCAAGGGGAGGAAACTTTAACTGATCTTGAACTGGAGAACTGGAAAGAAATCCACCTGGTTCTGGGTTTCTGAGGGTGAACGTGCGACTGTTTTGCACGAGGAGAAGCCTCACAGAGGTCTCGGAGCCTTTGAGGAAGAGCAGACTGAGCTCTGGCCTGGGAGCAGCTTTTTGTGCAGCAGGAAAGTTGTGCAGCAGAGCAAAGGGGAGCACAGGGAGGCACAAAGGGCTCTTGGAGGGTCTGTGCTTCCCACAGCACCAGTGGCTGCCCCAGCACAAAGCTCGGCTCTCCAAAGCCTGCACAGAGTGGAGGGAAAGGACTGAGGAGCTTCATGTCCGTGGTCTTGGTCTGGGAGGTGTTGAGGAGCCCATTGATCCCTGCGGATGCTGCTGGGTCACCTGGGGCTTTGTAACAGGGCTGAGCAGAGCAAAGAGGAGCTGCCACCAGCACGAGCATCCTCCTCCCAGGGGCACAGGGAGCTTCTGGCAGCTGGGGGCATGGAGCAGCTCAGCAGTGCAGGAAGGGCTCTGCTTCCTCCTGCTCCCACCCCTGGGCTCCCATGCCTTTTGGAGAGTGCCCAACCAATAAGTTTTAGCTTTATAGCAACAGTTGGTCTGGTTGAACAAGTTGCTGAGCTCAACAGGGACGAAGGGACGACGCTTTACAAACTGCCTTGGATTAAAGCAATCCATGGAGATGATGGTCTGTAGGCCCTTTGATGGAGGAGGTTTCTATTCCAGAAACAGCTGCCAGTCACATGGTCCCCAGCCAAGGGTCTGGATGGCCCCAGTGTGGGGGAGCCCAGGAGGTCAGAGGAGAGAAGAGGACCCTGCCCTCTCCTCCAGCATCCGTGGACCGAGTGTGAATCTGAACCCCAGGCCACAGATAATTAAAGATAGTGGTTTTCTAAAAGCATCACTCCATAGCTCTCAATGCTGTGAGCCACATGGGCTGTTACCTTTTTCCCCCCAAATGTTTATGATCCTTCTTTTCCTCTCTGCTTCATGGTCGAGAGCGTTTTCTTTATTTCCCTTGAAATAATAATGTAAATCTGGGAATTGGAAACCCATAGCCTGCTTGTATATATTTTTTTTAAAGAACATAAATTGGGGAACTGTTAAAATTATATTATTCCTGGCAGCAAAATTCCTTTTTTAATAGACAATTTGAAGTTATTATGTTGGAAGCAGTTTTCCCCACGTGTGTGTGCGTGCATGGTGTGGAGGGAACTGTGCCAAGAGGGCTCCAGGCAGCTTCTGAGGCAGTGGAAGTGCTGGGAGCTGGGGGCTGCAGTTTTTCAGCTGATGGTAGAAGAAACCCTCGAAGGTTCCATCTTACAGTTCTTAATTAAGCCTGGTTTTAGCAATGGGCGTTTTGCCTTGGGAAGAACTGAAGCATTGGACTGTCAGGATCTTTTTCTAGCAGGATCTGGTTTTTATTTCTCTTAGCTGTTCATTTTTACAAGGTTTGGGAGCACCAGCGTGTTCTCCTATGCACCAGTGATAGACATTTGTTTCCAATTAGTATTTATTGGATTATTTTAGTCAAAAGTAAGCTTTGTATCAGAGCCCCACAATATGCACTTTGTTATTTGTTCACAGGATGGTGTTTTCTTTTCCTGGTTTTTCATCAGCTTCAGTCTACTGAAAAGCTGGTGTGAGGCAGCTTGGCTGGGGACCTGCCCTGGAACAGATTAAACCAGATTAAACAGATTCCAGCCTCTTACACAGCGTCTGTGTCTTCCATTGGTACAGGCATGTTTCTGACTCACATGGCTGCAAACAGCAGTCAACATGTGTCCAGAGGCTGTGTCCAGCTTTCTGCTGCTTTTCCCAGTTGCTGGAATTAGCTGATCTTCCCAGACTGAGTCTTTGCAGGTAAAGCCTGGCTCAGGTGGCTCGTGGTGACATTAGCAGCAGGTACTGGTGGGTTTATGGGTGTGCACAGGGCTGACTAACAGCCTTGTGCACTCCCATGTAGGTGGAATTCCATATATGTGCGAAAACACATAGGTAATATTTTACATGGGTAAAATAATATGGAAAATTTTTGATTTAATGTCATCTGAGTTCCCAACTCAAGGTCATATGACAAAAAGATTTCCATAGTTTGCCTTGGGACTTCAAAAGCAAACGGAAATACGAATGCCCAGCGAGACCCTTGACTGATGTGTTTCTCACCCTGTAAATGACTGATCTTGTTTGGGGAGAAAACCCCCCACAATGAACATGGATCTTTGTGGTCAAGGGTAGCTGCAAGTGAAAATCCCAGGACTGGTCCCTTGGCTTCAGGTGTTGCCCAACGTGCACGTGGAGCTGCCGAGCTCGGGCTTATCCTGTTTTGCTGATGGAAGTGGGAGCGATGGCCCTGAAGTGGGGAGCACAGCAAGTGTCCTGGGAGTGATGGAAGCAGAGAAATGAGAAGCAGACTCACAGCCTTTCTTTTGAGGAAATAACAAATACGCTCGTACAGGAGAATAAATGCAGGATATTTGGCAGCGGCTCACGGTGGAGAAACAGTAAAATGCATTTGGTTGGGGACCGAGGGGAGCTGTGTAGATTCAGCACGATTTAACTGCAGGTCAAGCCTGAGTTTTTCTTTTCCTGCTGCACATCTCTGTTTTCCACAGCACGTGTAAAATGCTGTTACTGCGAACCACGCGTCCCAGCGCGGCCTCTCCGTGCACATCACACGCTGTAAATCTCAGGATTTTCTGGTTTTCCTCTCTTCCAGGACAATGGCCCTGCCCAGAGCAGGAGGTCGGTGCCCCCCGGGGCTGGGGGCAGCCCCCTGGACAAGCAGCAGGTGCTGAACGTGCAGCACCACCAGCCCCCCCGGCTCTACCCCAACAGCGGCCCCGAGTCGGGGCTCCCGGCCCAGCTGGGCGGGCTCCACATCTCTGCTGCACACAGGTAGGACAGGGCAGGGCTCACACTCTGCCTGCACTGCTGCTCCTGCCAGCCTGGCTTGGGGGGTGCACGGGGGCTGTGGTGTTCCTGGAGCTCCAGAGTGTGTGGAATCTTAGAACCATTTCGGTTGGAAAGACCTCCAAGATCAGGTCCAGGCGTTGACCTGACACTGCCAAGGCCAAGATGCTGGGCTGGGCTCCTGCCCCGTTAGTCAGGGGTGGGTGGGTTGTCCAGCCCTGGCACAGGCTGCTGAGGACAGTGGTGGAGTCCCCAGCCCTGGTGGGATTTAACAGATGTGTGGATCTGGCACTTGGTGGTGGGTTTGTGGTGCTGGGGTTAACAGCTGGACTCGATGACCTTGGGCTTTTCCCACCTAAACAGTTCTATGATTCTGTGAGTGTCACAGACATTAATATCCTGGTTTTTTTGAAGTGTATATCCGGGACAGGATGGAGGGTGCTGCCCTCCTAGGAGTGGGGATCACCCTGCTGCAGACCCAGGAGCAAACACCTGCCCTGGGAGCTGGAGGTATCCACCAAAAAAAATGAACCCCAGTAACTGGGATGTTTATAAATGTAAGATCTGCTCAGTGCAGCTGTCCAGGAGGTTGGGGAATAAATAATGCTCCTAGGAAAGAAAATGCTTTTGCATAGCCAAGAACGGTTTGGTTGGATAACTCAGACTTTGAGACAGGCCAGGTTGTGGGCTGGGATGCTTTTGTATGGATTATATGGATGCTGATTTATGTTCCACCAAACTGGCAAAAATCCTGCAAGAAAGCAATGTCTGTATCACAGAGGAAGAGCAAAGAGAGTTTCTTTTCAGCTTGGGAACTCTGTGTCTGCACAAATTCATGTTTCAGTGATGCTGCAAGCCAGCTTATTCCCTGTGCTGCTCCAGGGAAGTTAATGAAGTTGGAAAGAGAGAGAGAACTGCACAAAAAATACGGAGAACAAAATCTGGTGTTACCTGTGTGAGAGCCAAAAGCCAGGAGATTCACTTGGGTCTTGGAGCAGAATTGGGGCAGGAGTGTGTTCTCTTTGAATTGGTGCTTGGTGAGGCTGAGCTGGCCAAACCTGCCCCTTTTCACTGAAAATGTGTGAACTGATGTGGGAGAGGGCTCCAGCAGGGCAGGCAGGCACTTGGGGCCCTCCTGAAGGCTTGGGCTGGCCAGGTCTCACAGGGCTGGATCCATGGCTCAGCCAGGATGGCCCTCACGTCCCACAGGGAGCAGGATTGCTAGGGAGTCACTACTAGAAAATGGAGCTCTGACCTTTCTTTGAAAGTGACTTTTGTTGGGCTTTTTTTTCCTCTTTGTTTGTTTGAAAGTGAATGTTATTTCTTTTGTTTATTTGTTTAAGCTGGCATGAATATAATACTGGTGGAGAAAATGAGCCAGATGATAGCTAAAATATGTGAAGCTGATGGAGTTCAGGGCTCTTGCTATTTTTATTGGGTTTATAATGACCTTGATGACCTCCTCTGTAAAAAGGAAAAGGAGCCCCTTCCCCTGGAGCTGTGCTGTGCACTGAGGCCTCTGGAGCACAACAGCACTTGGACTCAGCTCTCCTCAGCAGGACTTTTAAATATTTTTTATTCCAACTATGCTTTTCATGCTTTGATGTATTGAATGAACTGGAATAATGGTTTAAATTGCTGTTTGTTGTCCGTGTATCCCAACTATGCCATGTACAGACCAGGAGCAGCTTTGGGTCAAGATGCTGGAGGGCAGAGGGGGGTCACGGGGCTCCTCCTGTGTCCCCCCCACTGGTGGGGTGGTTTTCTCCGTTGAGCTGTGGGCTCTGTTTCTGTACCCACAGAAACACCAGATTCCCAGGAGGCACCTGTGGGTGCTGAAGGGCTTTGCTGCCGTGCCTGGCACACACTCTCTGGATGTCCTAACAAGGGCTGAGTGCATCTCCTGGCCCTACATAGTTAATGAAATGCATGTTTTACCCATTCTTTCAGTAAATGCCATGGGTGGCAGAGCAATTTACAGTGTTTGCAAGCAGCTGCCCTCTTTCCTGAAGGCATCTGGTAACTGGGCCAGCTCTTGCTGTGTTGCTCAATTGGAGCCCAACGGGGAACAAGTTTAATCTCCCTGGTTCAGTGGCTCTTCCTGGGCCAGACATCCCTCCAGGCAGGGAAACACATGGGAACAGAGGTGCTTCATTGAATCTGTGGGAATGTGGAGGTTCCAATACCGCCCTGATGAGCTGACAGGAGCTGTTTCTATTTGACTTGAGCCTTTCTTTTCTTTGCTTTAAAACAGCATTGACCCCGTGAAGTCTCTCCCACGGAACAGAAATGGGATTGATGTGGAGTCAGATGTCTACAAGATGCTCCAGGACTATGAAAAGCCCGTCTCAGAGCCAAAGCAGTCTGGATCCTTCCGATACTTACAGGGCATGTTGGAGGCTGGCGAGAACGGTGAGGAGGTTGGCACCCAAGTGCCCTGTAAGGGGGGACCACCGGGGTGGCAGCTTTCAAACTAGGGTTTCACATACTCAGGCTTACCAAGTTGTGTGGCTGACTCGAGCACCGTGTGAAAGCTGGATTTGCAACCAGTGTGGCAGCTGTTTCTCTGCGATGGTTTATGAGACACGATGGCCTGAAGCAGTTGTGTAAGATCACCCTCGGAGAACTGGGTCTGGTTAAGTAAATGGCATTTGCATAAGGACGTGGGATGGTCCTCAGCAAGGCAGGGATAGAGATCAGGAGCTCTTGGCTCACTTTTCAGGTCTGTCACAGCTTCCTGCCCGTGTCGTTAACACATTAAATAATAAGATCCCCAAACTATACATTTCAGTTTCTTTTATTTGCCTTTCAACCTTAAGTCCATTGGGGCTTTTATGTTCAAATTTTCAGGCTTTGCTTTACGATCATTAGGGCAAGACTCTTCTTTCTGCTTCCTTCCAGGAGCCTCATACCCCAATCATGTGAATCCAGGAACTTAGATTTTATGGGAAAATACCAACTGCTGCAAATCTCATTATGAAGCTGTGAGAGGTAGCGAGCTGGGCTTTTGCACTTTGGTTTCTGTGTGTATAAAGTGATGAAGTCTGTTCTTTGACTAGAGGGATGTTGGTTCTTGCTTCACAAGAAGCACAATTGCAGATAATTTCTGAGCACCGTGGGTTTCCACCAGTACTGGTTTTCTCAGTGGGACTGAGGCATAGCTGCAAAGCATGAGAGGGATCAGCCTTGGAAGCACTGGGTGTACCTTTACAGTATATTTAATATTAATATTCCAGCCCCTGGACTGGCAGGAAAACTGATGTTAAATACATGCTCCAGTTGGACTTTCAAGTCCTTCACCAAGAGCAAGGACGAGTCTGCTGCTCCCCCAGGTCTCCTCATTAGGAAGAAGCAAATGGGAAGTGACTGTGTTAATCCCAGTTAGTAACACTGCTGCCTTCCTCCCTTCTCTGTGCCAGGGAAAGGGAACAAAATTGAAGCTTTACTGTTTTGCTCCTGCCTTCCCCTGCATCCTGCAGCCCTGGGCTGGCAGCAACCCAGTGCTGAGGGGAGGGGAGAAAGAAAAGGCTGTGGGCTGGGGGAACGGAGGACAAAGAGGTGCCAAGACAGTCCCCACATCCTGGGACTGTCCCAGCCAGTCCTGGCTGTCTGCTCATCCCAGCCCTCTCTTGGCACCAGCCCATCCCCAGTGCAGCACTGCTGTCGGGTACCAGCCAGCCCGGGACAGGCTGGGGCAGTCACTGTCACCTCCCAGGGCTCTGCCACCCTCCCTGCCCCTCAGCTGTGTGCAGGGGACGTGTGAGTGCCTGCAGGCACAGCCTCACTCGTGCCTTGGTCATTCCGACGCTGTTTATTCATAAGGGATGAGAAATTAAGTGAAAAGCATCTCTGCTGGCACAAAGCTCTCTGATGTTCCAGCACGCTCTCAATCCCCAGGAGTGTTCCTGGCTGGGTTGGTTTACAGCTGCCACCCCTGCTCCTTTCTCCTTAAGCCTAAAATTATACATTTTGACCCTAGCCTTTTAAAGTCAAGCTCTCCTCTCCAGAGGAGCCGAGTGTCTCAAACAACCTGTTTTATATGGGATGTGTTTCTGCTGGAAGCATTGCAGCCCCATCCCACCCCTTAGGGAGCAATGCTTTGTGCTGGGGTGGAGGAATGGCAGCACTTGCCTCTGTAAGTGCCCATGGCCCAGGAAGGACAAACACTGCAGCCATAACGGGGACAGCAATGGTTGAGGTTGTGGAATTAAGGCATCTCCCTGCCTTGCTGAGGACCATAAATCACAATGAGACTGTGGGCTGGTAACTAGAAGGAAACAATCCATCGTTTGGGAAGACGGGAAGCAGCCCTCTCTGCAGGGTTCATTTTGCTGTAAAATCCTTTTCTTTCTCTTCCCCCCCTTTCTCTTCTTTTTTAAGCAGCTTATCCAAGCACTCAGTCTGAGAGACAGTGACAGCTTAACTGTTAAATGTTGGCAGATGAGCATGTCTGCTCCAAGCACTCCTTGTCTCCCGCTGGGGGAAGCCAACAGCTCCAGCAGTTGTTTCAGGTTATTCCCAGCAAGGCAGCGGAAGGACTTGAGCGGGGCTTGGCTGGACCCAGCCGAGCACTGGGGGGAACCCTGGGGTGGAGCAGCCCCCCTCTGCTCCTGGGCAGGCACTCACATGTGTCAAGGCTCTTGGCATCACCAAACACTGTGTTATACCTTGGGAAGTGGGGTTTGGTGGGGGATTGGTCCTTGTTGGTTTTGCTCCCTTGGCTGGGAGCACTGTCAGCGTTGGCCCCTGGATCAGAGCCGTGGCTGGAGAGGGGGCTGGGGTTGGGGGTGCCTGTGCACCCCAGGGGGGAGTCAGGTGTGCACCCTCCTCCCAGGCAGGCCCAGGACAGCAGGCATCCCTGGGCACGCTGGATGGGGGAGCACGGCTCTCTCCATGGAAGAAGCTTTGCTGAGCTCTGCCCTTCAAAGTGTACCATGAGAACTTGCACGGGGTCAGGGAGCAACCAGGAGTGATGAAGCACCGGCTCCAGGCACTAAAAATTCCCTCTTGGAAAGGCAGAGACATTTCTGGGTCTGTGGGAGGCGCTTCCACTGGATTTTGCTCTAAAGTTTCCAAAACCAGAACAATGCATGCAGACACCTGGGTCAGACGTGCCTGTGCCCTGCAGAGACTCCCTGGGCAGGAGTGCTGGAAGGAGTCATTGAAGATGGACTGAAATACTCTGGAGGCTCAGGGAGAGTGGGAAGTCAGAACACTGGAGAACAGCTTGTTCATCCAAGAGCTCCTCTACTGCTTTTCCAAACTGTGTCAGCTGATGGACTAAAATTGTCCTTTTACTTTCTACAACCTTAGGCCATCACAGAGGAACCACCAAACAGACCAGTCAGTTGTGAGCCATGGAAAACCATGCAGTGGATTCTGGAAACTTTTAAGTGTCCCAGGGGCTGGCAACGAGCATGTTGGTGTTGTCCAAAATACAAGGGCAGATGGTAGATGGTCTGTAGGGAGGGGGCTGCAACACTGAAAACTCTGCTCTGATATTGTTCATATGCCCAAAATCTTCATTGCTTCCTTTCCTGTGTTGGACCTTTCTATGAAAGGAGGCTTAGTGCCCCAGAAGACCTTATCTTCTATCACAATATTTGGTTTAGATAATTCGAGCTTAAATGAGCACTCTAGGAAGAAAAATGCATGTGATTCTATTACTGTTTGTTTTAATTTCCTCATTCTCCAAAAGGTTTTCCTCTCTGCCTCCTTGACTGACAGTGGATCTACCAAGTGCACCCAAAATGTTGGTGTGATGGAACCTCTCCTTTCTGGAGCTTTTCTGAGCTCTTTGCTATTTATCTTTCTCAACTCAGTAAACAGTATTACACCCAAATTCACCTCCTGTCTCTAGATCACAACTGCTTTGCCTTTTGACAAGGTCCAGGTACTGAGCTGGTGCTGTCCCAGAACTTCCAAGGAAGTTGCAGGTTCTCTTGTGACAGGCAGAGACTCATCTGACTCCTTAAAAAAGCAAAACCAAAGCCGTGAGAGATGGAGTTTTCAATCCGTTTGTCTGTTTCTAATTCTTGGCAGGTGAAAAGCTCGACAGACTGAGCAGCCCCCGCAACATGAAGCCCCCGGTGCCGAAGCTGGGCGGGGCCATGTCGGGGCTGCAGATGCTCCCGGAGTGCACCCGCTGCGGGAACGGCATCGTGTAAGTGCCACGGCCTGGGGACCCCCAGGCAGGGGGGACACGGCCGGGGTGGGTCCTGCCGGGCACACGGGTTGGGGTTTACAGCAGAATACAGTCAGGCCCCTCTCTGGGGTTTTTTTTTCTAACCTTATATAAGCATGGAATTGAGGAATACATTTTGGATTGTCCCTTTTAAGGGAATCTCACAGCAAAACAGGGCTGATTGATGGGGTGGTTTCTGCCCTGCTTATCATAGTAGCTGCCCAGGGACTATGAATAGCAGCGTGGAGCTGGCACTTTGCTGCCTCACAGAGGGGGAAACGCCTTAGGGTCGAGTAGAAGAGGGTTGTGGGTTAGTTTTGGTTGTTTGTTGAAGAGTTACTCTCTGACAGATGGATGTTGGGTCTGATTTCAGAGAATACAGGCATTTTACTGCTCTGCTCTGCTGTAATTTATGATCTGTCGTGATTTATGTTCTGTTGTAATTTACATCCTGCTCATGCCAGCCCTGCTGGCTGAGTGTGGGCTGTGCCAGCCTGTACCCATATTCCTGCTGGTGCCGGGGGCTGAGGGTCTGTGCACGAGCTGCAGAGCCACGGCTGGCTCCTGGTGTGCAGGGCCAGGCTGAGGGCAGATATTTACTGGCTGGCTCCTGGTGTGCAGGGCCAGGCTGAGGGCAGATATTTACTGGCTGGCTCCTGGTGTGCAGGGCCAGGCTGAGGGCAGATATTTAGGGCTCTGCTTTGCAGCGAGCTGTGGGGCAGTTCTGCAGCACATGGGGCGTCCCTTCCTGCAGAAACCCCATGGAACCACTCCTGGAGCAGCGTGGCAGCTTCGGGTGGGCTGAAGTGTCGGGATGGGAACCCACAACAACCCCCTGGCATGTCCCTGAGTGCCATCTCACTGCAGGCAGCAGGCCAAGCTGTCGGTGCTCGTTCCCTGTGTCTCACTGAGCTCTCCCCGTCTCTCCAGGGGCACCATCGTCAAGGCTCGGGACAAGCTCTACCACCCCGAGTGCTTCATGTGCGACGACTGCGGCCTCAACCTGAAGCAGAGGGGGTATTTCTTCATCGAGGAGCAGCTGTACTGCGAGACCCACGCCAAGGAGAGGGTTAAGCCCCCCGAGGGCTATGACGTGGTGGCTGTTTATCCCAACGCTAAAGTCGAACTGGTCTAAGCCTGGGCTGTGCTCTGCAGAGGTCGGGCCGAGCCCAGAGCCCACCCACGTCCTGCGCCGGCTGCGATCACCCCCGGCTACCACAGCCCGAGGCAAACTGCCTGTTCCCAGATAAAGCCCTGTACACTTGGGATCTCCGGGGGATGGTGTTGAAAGCTTAAGAACAGGTTTTTCCCTTCTTTTTGACACTCTGCTTTTTGGGTTGCTGTGTTGGGTTATTAGTCTGTGCCATAACCTTGTCCAAGATCTGTGTAAATATTGATTAATTCTCTACTCTGTTTCATATAAAACCAGTATTCCTTTTTTTTTTTTGTGTGCCCTCCCTGTACTTAAAAAGCAAGGAAGATGTTTTAAAAGCTCGAAGAAAATAAGGCACTTTAACAAGAGAAGCTGACTCCTATATCCTGACCCTAATCTCCTGCCCTGTCACCGTCCCAGCTATTAAAACTTGACCCCCTGGGAGTCAGGATGTGGTATCAGTGGGTCCCCAGCTCAGCCCCATCCCAGCAGCTGTGCTAAGGAAGGGTGGTCTCTTAAAGCACTAATTGCAGTGAAATTCTCTGGATCAGGGCACTGCAGTTTGAGGCTGAGAGGGACTGATTAGAGCTCCCCAAGAGATCTCCACACTTGAGCCTGTGACAAGGCTTTTCTCTTCCTTTTTCCACTCCTAATTCAGTTGTTTTCTGTCACCTAATCACCCAAGCACACCTTTAAAGGACACTGAAATAGCCTGGAGCACCCTTTGGATATCCCCACCTCCCACGCTCCTGCCCACAGCTGCCCTTGCTTTGGCCATTCTGACTCTTCCCATTTTTTGCTGTATTTTTGTAGTCCTTTATTTCTAGATCCTCAGGCTGCTGCCATCTGGGTCTGCCTCCCAGCAGGGAGAGAGTGATGAAATCCCTCCAGGCACTTGGGGAGGAACTGGAGCTGGGGTGAGTCCCAAGGCAGCAGGATTGGATTTAAACCCTTGTCCCAAGGCTGTGCTTTCAGTCAAGTCCATCATCCACTTTATTTGAGGGGAAAAGTTTTTGTGGATCATGAGGTGTTGCTTTTTTTAGATAAACATGTTTTTTTGAGATGTTGCTTTATTAGAGAAATGTGGGTTTTCTCATGTTAGTGCTTGGAGGGAGAGAGAGTTTAGTCCCCAGCTGGATTCTGCTGTGGGTGGTGATGGGAGCCTGTGTTCAGTACCACGGGGTTATTTCTGCTTTGCAACAGCCTCTCTGCTCTTTCTCTTCACTCTGGGAGAAGGAGGATGTGGGGAAGAAAAATAAATGTCTGTGCTCACTTTCCTTCCAGGGAAAAGGAAAATAAGAAATGGGGTGATGGGCAAAGCACTCCTTCCCCTTCTGGCTCTCCATAACAGGGAAAATTGGGACTGGAGGAGGGTTGGGAGCATGATCCCAGTTGAGGCTGAGCAGGCAATTTATTCCTACAGGTTCTGCACCTCAGAAGGGATTTTAGGGTGTTACTGAGCTACATCTAGACCTCTTCACACAGAGGAGCCTTGCAGGGAATGCAGCAGCTCCTGTCCAGCTGCAATCCCCACATGTTGCTGGGTCAAACTCTTGTGCCTGTAGCTTGGAAGTTCAGGCTTCCCCCAAACCCATGAGTGAATGCAGCTCAACTGAGTGATGGGGAACTCATGACACAAATGGCACAGGGGCCTGTCCCCATTTTCCAGGCAGATGGTCACAGCTGCCAGCGGTGCTGTTTGTCACTCCCTGGGGCTCTTGTCCCTGTTTGACTCCACCTGCATTGTGGCCATGTCCTGTGGGATGCCAGGGGTCTGCAGCCCTGGCATGGGGAACACTAAGAAATTCATAAATTGGTTCATTGCCTTCATTTTAAACACCCCTCTGAGCAGGCTGCTGGCAGGGCACCCTTGGCTGTCTTGCTTGGCTGCCATACCAGTACAGCACTGGGACTGCTGGGCATGGGGCTTTGCTTTCAATTTGACCCCAAGTTCCCACAGATCAGTTTTTCCACATGGCATCTTGTGATACCCCTTCTCAGGAGTAATCAATTCACTTGATTCCCCTGTGGAGCTTGGAGCTGCCTCATACAACCCCATCCCAGGGCACACTGATTCCTGACTTCAGGCACCTCATTCCCCTTGTGGGGTTTGCAGGAGGTGCCACAAGCAAGTGTCACCTTTTGTGTCACCAGGTAATGCTGTTTAACTCTGTAAAACATGGGGAGGGTGCATTTTGTATGAAATACAAAATAAAACTGTACTGTTTGGTTTATCACTTAGCTTGGCCTTTGCCTGGTCCCTGGTGGGTCTCTCCTGGGGCAGGACTCCTACATGTGGGGGTCTCTCAGCATCCAGGTGAGGAGGACACGGGATAAACTTCAAAAAGCATCTTGGAGACAGCCAAGGTTTTCACGGGGCACTGAGAGCTCGTCTGAAGTTTGGCCTGTGCTTTAGTGGGGAGTTGGTTGTGTTTTTAACTCGTGAGACCTTCCTGGGACCCGGCATCCTGTAGGGTGTGGAGATGGGAAGGGCCATTGTGTCTGCACTGGTGCCTGGCTCCTGTCCCCAGTGTGACCCAGCTCCTCCTGTGATGGTCCAGAGCATCACCACATCTGCCCCTGCACAATGCCAATGACTTGAGGTTTTTGGCAATGTTTAACCAGTCCCAGTGACACTCCAAGGGAACCTGCTCCTGCCTGATGGCCCAGGCTGTCACCAGATGGGACCCACGGCTCTGTGGGGCTGGGGCTGTCACTGCCCTGCCACTGCTGGAGTGATCCAGGCCTTCTTCCCAAGGGGAGGTTACAGCTGACCCTGGGAGCACAGAAGCCCAGTGGGTGGTGGGAGTGTGGGGGATCAGGAGGCGAGGGCAGGCTGGGATGAGCAGCCCTGTCAGAGGGATGTTTGCTTCTGTAGCTCAGTCCACATGGGGCTGGTTTTAATAGCTGATGGGGATTTGAATGTAGTTTTAATAGCTGATTGGGATTTGATTCATTGGTGTGTGGGAAAGTCAGAAGGGATGTGAGGTAAGTGCCTCCAATAGATGTTAACCTAAAAGGTTTTATTTGGCAAGTGTTCATATATGGAAATTGTTGCTTGTATGTGCCTAAAATATTTAAAAGACAAAGCCTCTGAGGATCTGCATGTGGCAGAAAAGATTTCCCTAGTGTGGGTCTGTGTAACTCCATGTCTAATTAGTGCACATATTCAAATAATTAACATGCTTATGAATCTCCAATTAGTGGTTTTCTCTTCACCCTTGAATGCACACATGTGATGGGTGTGTTTCTGTGGTTTAGCCACTGCCCTCCCTGGCCCCTCTGCCCTGGGCATTGCTGCTGGGGGGCTTCAGCCCCACGGGGTGATCCCCAGGGGCAAGACTGGGGGGACACAGGGGCCTGAGCAGCCCAGCCCAACAAGGGGAGCCTCCTCCCTGCTTTAGAAAAAAAGAGGTGTAAGCTCTGTGATGAAGCACAGCATTTATTAACTAAATGAAGTGGGAACCGGGCCAGTCTGATTCAAGTTCTAATTGTTTAACTTTTTCCATGTATCATCATTAAAGTTTCCTACTTAGCCAGGCATTATTTCCACCACCACACCCCCGTTCTGCTGCAGCTTTTGTTTGGAGTTGTTTAACTTTGCTTTTGTTACTGGCTGGCTGCCCCGGGAACTCTAAAAAAATCTCAGCTGGTCTGTTTCTATGAGGATAAAAGTCTTTGTGCCATAGGAGGGGGGTAGAGGGAAAGAGGCTTTTTGGAAAAGTTCCCTGTTCTCCCTTTCTCATGTGTGAAGGAGGCTATTTTAATTACTTTAGGCAAAAAAAAAAAAATCTTCCCCACATGCATAGTAAACCCAAAAAACTGCTCCTAACTCTAAAGAAACTTCTGTGCAAGTTGTTCTGCCTCTCTGTTTCTCCCTAGGAAACACCCACAGAGCTCTTCCAGCCCGGGAGCAGCTTCTCCACCAGGACACTTAAATATTTTGAATTTTGAGGCAGTCCTAAAGCAGTTCCTTGTGCGGGGAGGGCAGTGGGGAGGGCCTGGGCTGGGGCCAGCACTGCTCTTGGGGCAGTTGATGTGCACAAGGTCACATGTTACTGTGCAAAGCTGCTGCTCGAGCCCGGTTCAGGCTTTGGGCTTTATTAATGAGAATAACTCTCTTCTGAAGAAACACCTTAGTTCTTCACTCCCAAACCCGAGGGGGGTTCCAGGAGGCCAGTGACAAATATGTCCTCCCTGAGCTGATGGACCCAGAGGAGACACAAGCTGCTGGCACTGTAGGACCAGGGGAGGGCAGGGCTGGGGACACTGAGCACTGTCACTGGAAAAGCTGCCTGGGGAGCCCTCGGGCAGCCCCCCACACCCTGCTCCTGTCCCCAGGCACACCGGCCACCCTGTCCCTCCCAGGGCTGCCTGATCTGCCCGTGGGGTGCAGCCTCCCGGCTCCCCAGGCAGGGGGTCCCAGGGCATTTCCAGCATCGGAGGGAGCACAGGGTGTGCAAAGGAGCACATCGGGTGTGTGATGTGCAGAGGAACGTGTGGGATGTGTGGGGGAGAGAGCGGTAAATGGGTGTGCCTGGGGTGCAGGGGTGGGTAGGATGGAGGAGGTAGATGAGGGGCAGAGGGGGTGCAGGGGGCTGAACAGGACGGGGGGGTAGGTGAGGGGCAGAGGGGGTGCCCATGCAGGGCCGTGGTCCAGGCGCAGCTCCAGGCGGGCGCTGCGCTGTCTCCGGCACCATCTAGTGATGGAACCCGGAATATCCAGCGGGTTCGGGCAGGGCGGGGGAAGAGCCGGCGCTGAGAGGAATCCCGGCGTGGTGGGAGGTTCCTGGGTGGTAACAGCTAAATCCCTTGGGAGGACAGCGCTTTGGGAAACCTCTGGCAAAGATCGCTCCGGGAGAGGTGGTTTTACACCGCGGGGATGGGTTTGATCCCGCTTCTCCTCTGGCAGGATCCCTGACCATCCCTGTTGCTCTGGTGCAGCCCTGAGCCGAAGGGTGGGGGACCAGGGCAGCAGGACGAGGGTGCTGCCCCAGGGCACGGGTGCCTCAGTGCTCTGCTCCTGCCACACCGCCGCACTGGGAGCGTGTGCTGGTCCCTGCCAGCTGCCGGGGCCAAAGCAGCGTCCCTGCCCTGGCTGGAGTGACATTGCACCAGGGAAAACTATTTAAAGTCCTTGGTGAGTGGTGGATAGCCTTGGAAAAGCTGACTCCACCTGAGTAGGTGTGTTTTGGGGGGTTTATCCCAAATCCTCATGCGGGTGCTCCATCTCTCTCGCAGGATTCCTATCAGAAATAAGACTAAAAATAATCACCCTGAGTGCTTGTCTGCCTGGCTCTGCTTAGGAGGGGAAAAGTTCATGCACCACTGCCGGGAACTGGGCAGTGATGGCCACAGTGCCCCTCAGAGCTCCGAGTCCCGTAAATGGGATTTCAGCGAGCCTGGCACCAGGCAGCCCTCAGTTCTGCTCTGGGGGTACTTACACTGCACTGCTGAGAGAGCAGCAAGGCTGAGATGAGTCAAGAGCCTTTGCAAAGGCTGCCAAAGATCATTTTTTCCCAGATGCTGTTGGTCCAGCAGAATGTGGCCCTGATGGACATGATCACCCGCTCCAGGACAGGCAGCAGGCAGCCAGGAGGGTGAGGCCAGGGCCTTGGGCAGAGCAGGGCTGCCCCACACTCCAGCAGGGTGACAGAGGCGCTCCAGCACCCGGCACAGAGCCCCTGGGAGGACACACTGCAGGCTCAGCAAACATACAGAATGGGTCTTGCTTTGCCCCATCAATAAGGAAGCTTCCCCGTGATCCAAGTGCTACACAACCCACAGAACTCGGAATTCTCATGAGCTTTCCCAATTCCCAGCTCTCAAGAGGGCTGCTAGGAGGGTGACACAGTTGTCCCCACCAAGGCAGAGGGTCCCTTGAGAGGGGCTTTGCCCAGGCAGGAGGAGCAGCACCCCCCAGCCCGGAGCAGAGCAGGAGCTCTGGTGCCGGGGGTGGCACAGTGTCACACAGGGGGAGGGGGACACTCCCCTGTTACTGTGTGTCAGCAGGAGCTGGGCTGTTCTGCTGCTGGGGGGACAGCCTGGGGCATCCAGCAGCCCCTTGGTGTCCTTCCTGCTTCCACAAGACAAAGCGTTTGCACCAGAGGTGACGTCTCAGCCATGCAAAGGTTTGCTCCTTCTCCCCCTGTGCTGAGTTACTCCTCCCTCCCTCTGCCAGCTCCTTGGCATCTGGTTTCGCTTTACAGGAATCTCCTTGACCTCATTTCCCGCATTCTGCTCTTCATGTAATAGCTGAAAGCGTGTTTTATAAGGCTGTGGTGTAATCATAGAATAGTTTAGATGAAAAAAGTCCCCAGCACTACCAAGCCCACCACTAAACCATGTCCCCAAGTGCCATATCTACATGTCTGTTAAATCCCTCCAGGGATGATGGTGACTCCACCACTGCCTGTGCCAGTGCTTGATAATCCTTTCCATTATGATTTTCCCTAATATCAAATCTAAACCTCCCTTGGTGCAACTTGAGGCGATTTCCTGTTGTCCTATATCTTGTTCCTTGGGAGAAGAGACTGACCCCCACCTCACTGAACAAGGACTGGTCCTTCTCTACAGTGAATTTGCTCAACAACTGTCCAAGCCATTCACTGGCTACTACTGTGTGTGGTTTTCATAGTCTCCATACTTGGGTTAAAGCATCCCTGATGTTGGATCACAAGTGGGGTTTACAGTCTGGGGAGCACCAAGCAAAGCTCTGACAATTGCAGCAGGAGCTCGTTGTGCTGTGGCAGCACTGGTCAGAACATAAGGGATTTCTGAAATAACTAACTTGTGTAGATTCACAGCAAAAGAGAAAAACCTGTGGTGTTTTCATGTTGAACACATGAAATTTAGAATACATTAAGGATTCATCTGCAAACCAGATAAACCTGAGCACGTGATATGTGTCTACCACTTACTGTTGATATGGTAAATTTGCAGCCTAACCACAGCTATTTCTGAGAATTGCAAATTAGTCCTCTGTAAAAAACTACTGTTGACTGATTAATTACTAAGATTGCATTAACTTTAATGCTTACAACAATGCACTCTCATCCCTTATTTCCCCACGGGGGCAGGCATGCGTGTCCTGTCTTTACCATGGTTCTTGCACAGCCCCAGGGCAGGGCAGGTGGAGCTCTGCTGCTGCTGCTGGTGCTGCCTGTGAGCCCCTGATCTGCCCCAACTGGCCCCCACCCTGCTCTTATCACTGGGGACACCTTTGGCAGTGCAGTGGCTCA